TGAACTTTTGGGAACTGGCGAGCATGAATCAGAACTGCTACTGGTCCTTGAAGGAGATACGCCTTGAGAAAGAACATCAAGTACTGGTGCAACAGAACCGTGGAAAAGACTGCCAGTAATTGCCTTTATTGTCTTGACATTCTCCATTGCGGCAGGTATTGTACATTTGTCATGATATACACTGTATTTTAAGTCACCAAATTGCAGGAGCTCATTCCCTACCTGCTCAGTCATTGGTTCATTCTGTGAAGGTGGAGAGTGTATTGGAATTCCAAGGTCACAGACTGAACCAATGGGTGAGCTACGTAAGTGCCTGGAGTGGGTGAGGGGAGGGTCTAGAGCCACCCCTTCTGTCTCTGCATGGGAAGTATTGTAATCTGAGTCTGTGTGGGTCCCCTTTTTCCTCCGACCTTCTCTCCTGCGGCGTGATGGTATGAACAGGGGAGGGTCACATTCCTCAGCTCGTACCTTTCTCCAAACTGTTACTGGGAGGGGTGAGTTAATTCCTCTTTGATATCTTTTCCTATAGTGCCTACTTCTCAAATAAAGGCTGTCATTGCCTTAGTTTGCTTTATACCACCAGAGAATAAATGGTGATCATTTGTCCCAAAATAAGGCAGCAACTCTTGCACCTGATCCACAGCAATTGCAGGAACTCAAAAAGAACTGACACCTGGCAGAGGATGTAGGCACAAGTGAAGCATAAGGTTAGAATCCATATTTAGTAAGATGGTTATCAAGCAGCAGTGAAGAAGACAGACTGCATTACAGACTGCATTATACAAAAATCACAAATTAGTGTCTACTTATAGCTATGTAATTATGGTAAACAAATTTCATAACTGAAGTGTACAATTTCCTGAAAGCCTGAACAAAAAATGGAAGAGTGTTTTTGTCTTGCTTTAAGTGCTTGAAACCTGTCACGCTCCATTAAAAAAAAAAAAAAAAAACACCACCACATATTTCCAAATGTTTCTCAGCTAAAACATGCTGCAGAATCTAACCTAGCAGTGCAAAAATAAAAGTAGCTTTTGAGGAAAGAAAGTATTAATAAACAAACCACAACCTTTCCATAAATAAATTTAAAATTAGTGCAAGAGATGTAAACACAGCAGTGAAATCCCCCCATTTAATTAAATAAAAATTAAATGTAGCAGACACCTCTTTTGACATGAACACCCATTTTCTCAGTAAATTGACAAATAACATTTTAAATAAGATTTGATTTAGTTACCAAATAAGGAATATCTAAAGAGTTAAACTTTTTAGTAACCAGAACAATTATATTCTTATTATTCTCTCTCTCTCTCTTCCCTCCAACGTTTTGGGTTTTTTCATTTTTTTTTTTTTTTTTTTAAATAAAGAAAAAAAACTTTGAATAGGGAAAAAACATCCTCTCTCTGGTGAACACTTGAACAACATACAATATAGAAGTATATATTACCCAATCATTACTGTACCTTTAAAAGAATAGATATGATTTTAATCTGTACCTTTAAAAGAATAGATATGATTTTAATCTAACACCTCCTTTACATTAGGAACAAATAGGGATATTAATAGATGAGGATAAAATATTTCCTACATTTTCTTAAATTAGGCAATATAGGTAGTTAACAAATAATCCAACTACCATAACAGTACAAATGTTATATTATGGTACTACTGGGATTTTAGAAACTTTAGAAACAACATTGTCCTTTATTCAGTCTCATAGTTCAAATAAAAATGGTTTAAAAAGAATTCTGAAACACAAGAACTTCACTTTCTATACAGTAATATCTCAATAAAGAATACCAGCTATTAAAAAATATGCACGTATTAGAGATTACAGTTCATTGTTGGAGGGAATGAAGATGAATGTCATAAAAGAACCTACACTGAATAAATAGAATTGAACTATGTGACAAGGAAAGGAAGTTAGTTTTTATATGTTAAATATATAAAATATATATAGTGTATATACACACACAATCCTTTTACCTTTATCTTGCACTTCTTTTGAAAATCGCTCCCTTTCAATAGCTGATTCACGTTCTATCCGCTCAATTTCAGCCAATGCATCCAATTCTACTTCATCATATGACGTTATAGTTCCTTGTTGCGAAACCTGATGCTGTGTCTGCACCACAGGAGTTTGAGGTTGTTTTGCAGCAACTGAAGTGTTCTGTTGTAAAACAGGCACTTGTGCCTGAAGGAAAACTGTCTGTTCATGCTGCGGCAAACACTGAGCAGTGTTTACTGGGCGGTTAACATCCTGTGGAGTAACGGGTGTTTTAGAAGTCTGTCCTGGGTACTGCACATTAAAAGGAATATCACCCTCTGATACACTGCTGTTTTCCAAACCACAAAGCATATCATCCTGCTGGTCCAAATCCGAAGATCTTACACGAGAGAGTCTTAATGTAAGCTTAGTGGAGTCCTTGGAAGGAGAACTAATGATATCGTACATTGCAGCTTTTTCAGTCTGGTCTTTTTCATCCTTGCCTAACTTCATTTTCTTTTGTTTCTTTTGCTTTCTTTCTGGAGAATCTAACAATATGTCTGGGGGAACATCTCTAGGTGATGAATAAGGTGGAGGCTGAGATTGTAGGATTAAAGGTGGTCTTGATCCTAGAATAATAAATAATTCAGAAAAACTGAACAGTTACGTTGTTTCATGTTTTATATAATAACACACTAAATATAACCTAAATAATTTTAATGTGTATTTGTACATATAACTGTGTTCACAAAAGGTCTAAGTAATATTGGTAGGAAACACATAATTCCTAGATCAAGATGTAATCCAGATATTCACACTCTATTTCCTAGGAGCTTTAGCTATCCACTGCAGCTGGAGAAGGGATCATTTCAGAGAAGATTGAACAAAACAAATTAAATTAAAAAGTAATAAAATAGTACCTGCAGGTTCATAATATAAACTATTAGAAAATAGTCAGTGAAAGTAAGCTGACTATTGAAAAAGATCAAAAATATTCTTCATAAGGTCCAGTGATGCAGACTTAATGATCAGTGTACTGGACAACACACAAACGTGTTAAGGGAAGATTTCCTACCTTACATGTTCATAGGAAGATGAAATTAGAAAATGTCTGAAAAGATAAATTGGTCTTTCCTTCTTACTTAACTTTGATTCAGACATTTCATTTTTTTTTTAACCATTCCTTGCCTTATCACCTCCTTTTTTCTTTTCTTTTTTAAGTATAAATATTTACTTCTACATGCACTCACTCCACATTTTAAGTATATCTAGAGGACATTTTTCATTAAAAGCATTCTCCAATTCATCATATTTTTTGTTCCTCAAATTAAACCAACTCCCCATAACTGTTAGCCCAGAAAAAAACTTTGAGAAACAGATAACTTTTCAACTTCTTCTGACTATGATTTTAAGCTATAATTATTAGTTTAAAAAGGAATATTGGTGTATATAAAAAAGATTACAATTAAGGATGAATAAAGCTCCAGCCTCCTCTTGTTCAACTAAAGCAAACATTTCTCTGATCCCATTCATCTATTAGGGAATACTGTTCTTCAGAAAGAAGTGAGCGTTGTAGGTCATCGTAAGTCAGTACTTCTAAAAACACTGAAAAAATTTATTGGAAGACAGGTCCCCACGTGCTCCATTCAAGAAACACCACTGAACAAGAAAGCATCTTTATTCTGCAGCTTAAATGTCCAATGAATAATATTTCTTAAAATATCTACTAAACTATGTACTGACATATAAAATGGCTATGTCTGCCAAAGCTTCAGTTCAAATGAAAGGTACTCCTTTACTGATGATTTTATACAGACTAATATACTTAATTTTCTCTCTCCAGTATATTGTGATATTGTGAGACATCCTATAGGCTCTGTATGCAGATCTGGGTATAAAATGGGTTTATCTTACCCAGTTCTTCCTGACTATGAGAAACAACCCCATATCCTGCCAATAATATCCACAATGCTGGGAAGCCCTGTTTTGACTCAACCTGATTCTCAAGATCTTTCCACTACTTCATTTTGCTTTAGGCAGCAAGCTGGTTGGGCTTAGCACCAGGGCTTTAAACTGGAGCTGATGGGGAAAGGAGGTGTACTGCTGAGTGACACAGAAGAGCCAGGAAACTGTCTCTTTAGGAAGCAGTAGGGGAAAACTTCAGATTTGTCCCAGAGGTTTATGGGAAGGCTCCTCTAGGAAGGTAATGCATCTGAAAGCCCAGCTGAAGTACCTCTATACCAATGTACACAGCATGGGAAATAAGGGGAGTTGGTGCACTTGGAAAACAATGATCTTGTTGCTATCACGGAAATGTGGTGGGATGATTCACATAACCGGAATACCATGATTGAGGGCTATAAACTTTTTAGAAGAGATAGGCAAGGTAGGAGGGGCAAGGGAGTTGCCCTCTATGTTAAAGAATGGATAGACTGTGAAGAGCTGCCTCTGAGAAGTCAGGAACAGGTTGAGAACCTGTGGGTTAAAATTACAAAAGACAGCTGGTGGTCAGGGTCTACTATAGGCCACCTGAACAGGGGGGAGTCTGTGGATAAGGACTTTCTGCTTCAGCTGCAAGAGGCATCATGCTCACAGACTCTCATTCTGATGGGGGATTTCAACCACCCAGATATCTGCTGGGAAAACAACACAGCCAGCTGCAAGCAGTCCAGGAGACTTGGAGTCCATTGACAATGACTTTCTGGTTCAGATATTGGACAGATCCACCAGAGGTGAAGTGTTGCTGGACCTGGTGCTCACCAACACAGAGGAGATCATTAAAGATATTAAGATTGGAGGCAGCCTGGGCTGCAGCGACCATGCCCTGGTCAAGTTCCTGATCTCGAGGAACATGGGCCAGGCAAAGAGTGGAGTCAGGACCCTGAGCTTCAGGAGAGTGAACTTCAGGCTGTTTAAGGAAGCATTGGATGAGATCCCCTGGAAAACTGGTCTTAGGGACAAAGGAACAGAATAGAGCTGGCAGCACTTTAAGAATGTGTTTCCGAGAGTACAAGAGCTCTTCATCCTCTAGAATAACAAATAAAACAGAGAAGGTAGGAAACCAGCATAGCTGAACAAGGACCTGCTGGTCAGACTGAGGGGAAAAGTAAAAGCAGTGGAAGCAGGGACAGGTGGCCTGAGAGGAATACAGGGATGCTGTCAGGATGTACAGGGATAGGATCAGGAAAGCCAAGGCATGGATGGAAATAAGCTTAGCAAGGGATGTAAAAAAGAAGTGGTGTTTCTTTAGGTACATTGGTCACAAGAGACAGGCAAAGGAGAGTGTACCCTCTCTGATAAACAAAAAGGGAAAACAAGCCTCCTCAGATGCGGAAAAGGCTTAATGAGTTCCTAATGAGCTCCTTGCCTGGGTTTTAACTGCTAGTCAAGCTTCCCATGCCTCTCTTGTCCCTGAACCTCCAAGCAGGGGTCGGGGGAGCAAAATCCCTCCCAGTATAAGAGCAGAGCAAGTCTGAGATCACCTCACGAGGCCGAATGCATCCAAGTCTATGGGGGCCAGATGATATGTATCTCAGGGTGCTGAAGGAACTGGCTGGTGTGGTTGCCAAGCCACTATCCATTACATGTGGAAAGTCATGGCTGTCAGACAAAGTCCCTGGTGACTGGAAAAAGGAAAACATCACTCCCATACTCAAGAATGCAAAGGAGGAGGACCTGGGAAACTACAGACCGGTCAGCCTCACCTCTGTGCCTGGGGAGATCGTGGAGCAGATCCACACTGCTGGCTCTTGGACAACCTGTTATCTGCCAGTACCCCCAGGCCCTTCTCCACAGAGCTCCTCTCCAGCAGATCATGTCCCAACCTGTACTGATACTTGCGGTTATTCCTTCCCAGGTGTAAGACTCTACACTTGCTTTTGTTAAGCCTCATCTGGTTTATTGCAGCCCAGAAATCAGGGTTGGGGCAATCCCAGATATGAGTACAGATTCAGAGATGAACTTCTAGAGAGCAGCCCAGCCAAGAAGGAATTGGGGGTTCTGATGAATGAAAAGCTGGACGTGAGCCAGCAGTTTTCACTTGCAGCCCAGAAAGCCAACGGTATCCTGGGCTGCATCAAAACAGGGGAGGCCAGCAGGGACAGGGAGGGGATTGTCCCCCTCTACTCTGTCCTTGCGAGGCCCCGTCTGGAATACTCTGTCCAGGCCTGAGGCCCCCAGTACAGGAGCGATGTGAAGCTGTTGGAGTGGGTCCAGAGGAGGGCCATGAAGATGATCGGGGGGCTGGAGCATCTCTCCTATAATGAAAGGTCAAGGGAGCTGGGGGCATTTAGCTTGGGGAAGAGAAGACTCTGGGGAGACTTCATCGCAATTTTCCAATACTGGAAAGGAGCTTACAAGCAGGAAGGGGACTGACTTATTACACAGGTAGATAGTGATAGGACAAGGGCGAATGGATTTAAACTGAAAGAGTAAAGGTTTAGGTGAGATGTTAGGAAGAAATTCTTCACTTAGAGGATGGTGAGGCACCAGAACAGACTGCCCGGAGAAGTTGTGGATGCCCTAGCCCTGGAGGCGTTCAAGGTCAGGGTTCCTGGGAAGTCTGATTGAGTGGTTGGCAACCTTGCCCCTGACGGGGGGGTTAGAACTAGATTACCTTTGAAGTCCCTTCCAACCCAAGCCATTCTATGATTTCCCTTCCCCAATTTAGATGCTACACTCAATCACAGCATTTTAAGAGTTGGAAGGGACCTCTAGAGATCAAGTCCAATCTCTCTGGTAAAGCAGGTTCCCTACAGCAAGTCACACAGGAAGGCATCCAGATGGGTCTCGAATATCTCCAGAGGACACTCCACAACTTCTAGGGGCAGCCTGTTCCAGGGCTCTGGCACTCTCACAGTAAAGAAGTTCTTCCTTGTGTATGGAACTTCCTATGTTCCAGTTTTTGTTTGTTGTCCCTTGTCCTGTCACTGCACACCACTGAAAAGAGCCTCCATTTAGTTGACTCCCACCCTTCAGATATTTATAAACATTGCTAAGTTACCCTCTCAGCCTTCTCTTCTCCAGACTGAAGAGTCCCAGGGCTCTCAGCTTTTCCTCATATAGTAAGTACTCAAGGCCCCTCATCATCTTTCTCACTCTCAGCTAGACTCATTCTGGAAGTTCCCTTTTTTTCTTGAACTGAGGAGCCCAGAACTGGACACAGTACTCCTGATATAAATCATCAAATCACCAAGGTTGCAAAAGACTACCAAGATCATCTAGTCCAACCATCCACATACCACCAATATTTCCCCACTAAACCACATTCCTTATTACTACCTCTAAACATTTCTATGGCCTCACCATAGCAGAGTAGAGGGGGAGGATCACCTCCCTCAACCTGCTGACCATGCTCTTTGTAATGCACCCCAGGGTACCATTGACCTTGGCCACAAGGGCACACTGCTGGCTCATACCAACCTGCTGTCCACCAGAACCCCCAGGTCCTTCTCTACAGAGCTCCTCTCCAGCAGGTCAGTCCCTCACCTGCACTGATGCATGTGGTTATTCCTCCCCAGGTGCAAGACACTACGCTTGGGTCTTGCTGAGCCTTATCAGATTCCTCTCTGCCCATTCTCAGCATGTCCAGGTCTTGTTGAATGGCAGCATAGCCTTCTGGTATGTCAGT